CATCCGTAGTTCTACATTTATAAGGTAGCATCCTTATGTAAACTTTTTCCATTTTTGAGAAAGAATATTTTAACATCATATTATTCAACAAAATATACATAAAGCAATGAAATATTAAAAGTGTGTAGCCTAGTGTCCAAACCATAGTTACCATGTAATAATGCACTGGTTGGGGAAAAACATAAGGAAAAAAAAATCCCTGGCACATTATTATCGGCACGATAGAATAGAAGGTACAGATTTCCATGAAGTTGGTACTTGGTATGTTTGTATTGTGAAGATGGTAATATTTATATCTATGACTAATTGCAATTGTTGCACTTAAGCTTTTAATTCAAAAAAGAAAGAAGGGAAATTAGTTTGGTGCAGCCGTGGCTCCACCTAAAACCATGAAGCCGCACCTCATTTACTCATGTTTAAGAATGGGTTGAGGGTCCAAAACGCTCCAAATTCATTCTATTATTCTACAGGATCAATCTCAAGAAGAAAAGGAATCTGGAGCCCTAAAAACACTCCATCTCGACTTCCATATCGAAACTGAATCTAACTAGGGTTCATGGCAGTGGAGAAACTGCATCGGAAGAATGAGGGATTCTAGTTGTAAGATATCGAATGAAATAGTAGCTGGAATTGAAATATTATTTAAAGAGAAATCAAATATTTGCAGTTTCTTTTTGTATCCTATATAGACATGGATGATCTGATCATCTTGACTTCCATAAGAAAATCTGGTCTGAACCATCAATTTCAATGGATGTCAGACCAATCATATCAGGAAATCTCTTTGGGAGCTCCAGATCCCTCTCTCTCTCCCTCTCGAATTCTTCCATATCAAAATCTGGTCTGAACCATCCGTTTCAATGGTCTGAACTATCCACTCCCTCCCTCCCTCCCTTCCTCGCAGGTCTTTTTGAGACTTTTTGGGTTCTCCATCCATGAAAAGATTGGTGTTAGGCATGGCTGCATAAATAGACTCATAATTAATTGGTACCAACTATACAGGTTATATTGCAAAATATAGGTGCAGATTATAATAGATGTGGGTAATATTAATACCAATTCTATAGTTAAATGTACTACATATCTCTACTATACATCAGAATGGGTTTCTTTGCATTGATATTATGTTCCATACAGTTCAGTGCTATTTGTATATATGCATGTGCAATAAGGAAAACCAGATAAGAAATGAATCATAGTTTATCTACAGAGAAGATCAGAACAAATCAAATGACAGGGGAATAAATTTGGGTAGAAACTTAAAAAAATGTCGACCTCAGAATTTGCATGAAGCCAAAAAAAACTAGAAGAGAAGGCCATACTAACTCGAACAAAAAAAAAGAAAAATCCCCAAACTGAATTCATGTGAAAACCAAGAAGTTAGCTTGGCAATTCCGGGAATTTGGTATACACAAGAGTGATTTTAAAAAAACAAATCTCGAAATTAGATATCTAAGATAATGTATAAAAATAGTAACAATGAAACTCAATATCAGATGTACAAATCTTTCACTGTATACGTCAGTTTGCTATCATTTATTGCTACATATAGCAAACATACCCACAGTTATATAAAAAAAGATAGCTCATTTAAACCAAATACAAAGCAAACATGTCCCCCAAAAAAATAATTAAATCACTAAAATCCAATTCAAGATACAAAAGATATACCTGTATTTAAGAAATAAATTGTCCGAAAGATTATAAGTAATTTGGAAAAGGAATAAATCAATAAAATCCGATTCCAAATTCAACAGACTAAATAATCCAAAACATGAATAAATCAGTAAAACTCAGCTCCAAATAAAATAGACATACATGAATTTTCTCGGCAAGCTGAGGTAGGTCGACGAAACCAGAATCACTGTCACTGCTGCATAAAGAGTCAGCCCCACTGCTGCCATTCTCCAAGAAATCGCTCACCATTAGTGCGAGGTCATGCTCACTTTCATGGCTGAAACCCTCCCAACTCCCTGAAAACCTAGTTCTAAGGTTGCCGGCAACTGCACAAACCCTACAATCGCCCTCTTTAAGGCCTCCCATAAGGCCACCTCCTTTTGCTTCTTTATGGGTATTTGCCCCACCTCCCAATTCTGTCGTTCCCAGCTTAGCCAACTGGGATAATAAAAACCAAGAGCTCGTAACTCTAACCCTAATCTCTTCAATGCCAGGAATTCATCTGGGCAGTGAACCATGGATCCTAATTCAGTCGATATGGTCCCATCTCCTTCTTATAGCATTGAACACTTGGGCCTTCCGTTACTCTGATAATGAAACTCAGATTACAGAGGCTCATGCATCGCTAATTCAACAAAGGAATTTCCTCCCTTCTTGTTTGGATGAAGAAGCCTTAACTCATCTCACCAAAAGGAAACCTCAATTCCTCTCATAAAAAATCACAAAACCCTAACTCAAACATTTTCCCTTCATTCCATTCTGAAAAATCAAGACCATAATCTCAATTAAACCAGAAACCCTTGTGCAAAATTAATTCTACCCCACGATCATAAACACAAGGTTCCAGATCAAAACCCTGACCCTAATTGATAATAAAGATCTGAAAAGGCCGCTCAGGACACCCCAGTTTAAATAAAACCAGAGTTAATCCGCGATGAATTTTTAATTTCTGCAGAAACTTAGACGAAATCCTAACCCTACTTTATGAGGGTGGATCAAGCATTTGCACAAGAAAAAGCATGCCAAAAATTCAATGAAAAATACAGAAGAAGAAGAAATTAGGTGTGCATTTGATCCGCAAAGGGCCAGAGGCCTGGCTCAACAAACAAAGGCCAAACAAGAGAAGTGGATAGGCAATCTGGTGACTGTTTTATAGCCTAAAAGTTTCCAATATTACGAAACTACCCCTTCAAATATTTTGGATTTAATAAGCACCATTATTTGAAAAAAATATATTAGTTAACGAGTTGTAATTTATTAGTTAACGAGTTGTAATTTATTAGTTAACGAGTTGTAATTTTTTACAAAATCTTCAAGAAAGTCAAATAATGACAATTTTATATTTAGGATTTGATTAACATATCTTTTAGAGTTTTTCCTTATCATTTTAGAGTTTTTCACTTGAATCATATTGCACATCTTAATCAGTGATATATCACCTAAGTTCAAAAAAATATATATTAGTTAACGAGTTGTAATTTGTTAGTTAACGAGTTGTAATTTTTTACAAAATCATCAAGAAAGTCAAATAATGACAATTTTATATTTAGGATTTGATTAACATATCTGTTAGAGTTTTTCTTTATCATTTTAGAGTTTTTCACTTGAATCATATTGCACATCTTAATCAGTGATGTATCACCTAAGTTCACTTTCCCTTCTCTTATTGTCTATTGAACCCACACCTAAATTTATCGTATGTATTGATATTGAAGTTTATTATTATTTCTTATCTTGTCACTCATCCATCTCGACATCTTCATCTCTCATATGTATTTATTTTAAATTATATCTTTTATTGTCTGTCTTATTACTCATCTATCTTAACAGCATCTTAGCTATACTCGTATTATAGATATATTTTATTATTTTTTATCTTGACACTCATCTATCTCAACATCTTCATCTCTCATATATATTTATTTCAGATTCTATATTTTATTGCCTTATTACTCATCCATCTTAATATCATCATCTCAACTATACTCATATTATAGATATGTTGTTTCTTGACCACCCAACATTATGTCTTACAAAATGTAGTTAGTCTTACGGCCGTCTTATAAAACTTCTTTTTCAGTCTCAATAATTTGTAGTGATTACATAAAACTCGAAATGCATATCTCTACTTTTATCCACCGAGCGCTAATCATGTATAAGATATCTTCTCAATCTCTTTATTCTTCTGGATTATCGACTTTAGATATCAGAAACAATCTTTTTTGGGTGCGGTTTGTATAGAGTTGAGGCTCTGAACGATCAAATTAAAACCCACCTTCAAATAGTGTCAAGAAATATGGTTTCAATAGTGGAAATTTTTTTTGATAGTGTTAAATTGTATATAGATCAAGCAGATTTATGAAAACTTGAAAATCTTGAAAATTGACGATCCAAAAATGCTTTACAAGATGCACTATTTATAAAACTTGATATTCATTTTTTTCTCATATCTATGTATCTTGACGTAGAAATGATCAATTTGATGATATTTTAACATCAAAACAACATCTTCTAGTGAAAGTTTTGATGTAGGCTCTAATTTGATTGTTTAGAGCCTCGTCTTTGTATAAACTTTTCCCATCTTTTTTAAGGATAATTCTAAGATGAACTTTGGATATTTCTAAAAAAAAAACTAAATTTTGATAGAATTAACCCCAATAAAAGATAGGTTTGTGGTTATTTTAGACATTTCTTTGAAAAAATAACGTACTTTCAATTTTTTGTATTTATTTGGAGTTGAGGGTGTTTTCGTTATTTTTAGACATCAACCGTTGGTTTCTGGCAATTTTGCCATTAACGTTTAAGATAACGTGGGCGCCAAGTTTGGTCCTAAATGGGAAAAAGCGCGTTGAATCTACCATGACGTGGCCGACACGGCAAATAGACATGTGGCGGACATTGGATCGTTAATTTTATTCCGTGCGCTTACGTCATTCAATAGCCGCTCGTGTGGCCTCTGCGTTCGTGCGAAATTGGAAGACAAGTGAGTTGGGTTGGACCGCATTGCTACAAATGCGGTCCAAAAGTGTATAGCATTGCTACATATGCTGTTCAAAAGTATAAAGAATCTACTTGCATCATTTAAAAACAAAGAAAATTAAATGTCCAAATATTTTCTTACTAGAATTATTATTTTTAATTTTTAAAATTTATTTATTTATTCGTATTCATGATCTCCATTGTTTGAGATTACATGTCTATAAAAATTAAGTGTAAAAATCCATCTTAAAGATAAATTTATTAATAGGCATGTATTTCTACATATGCGGGCTTGGCTGTACAGAAACCAGGTCCGAGAGAGAGAATGTCCACTCGGGTGTGAGGTGACGTTTGGCTTAGGTTTTGTGGAAAGAAATAAAATGTTATAAATTTTTCTACATTAAAATTTTTGTAGATAGGATCTCACTAATTTTGGAAAATTTTTTATATAAGGTTGCAACCTTATAATGTAGAGCAACGGATGTACCTAAAAAATCCATCAAAAAAGGTAGTTTTAATGTTGAAAAACCCTATGATTGATCATCTCGACATCGAGATGTATGACAATGAAAAATAAAAAGATTTTAAGTCTTTTTACAACATATTATCTACACCGTCCATTTTCAAGATTTAAATATGTTTATAGATCGACTTGATTTTAACTATTTTTGAAATTTAAAATTTTATAATTAGATATAAAAATAGATTTTGAGAGAATTCTAAGAACATTTTACATCAAAATAATATACTATGATAAAATTTGAAGGCGCACATTACCTCTACAACTACGAAAGCATCTGTATGCCAATTGCGTCCCTAATTTTGTTATAGAAATGTATATAATGAGACCATTTACTTTTCATACAAGAAGGTCAATCATCATTAACCATGAGATCTAAATTTGGGTAGTTGAAAAAGTGTTATTGTTTAGGTACAAAGTCCAGAATAAAATTTTTTAAATGTTGTGATGTAGTTTCATCTGTTAGATTTCACATCTAATGTCTAAAAATATTTGTAACGTCATCGTATAAAAAATAAAGAGTAATGATCTTATGATACCCTCCTACACCCCTGTGTATAGGACCCCAAATGATCACCATTAAATATAGCATAGATCTCTAGAAAAGTTATCACATGAGTGGGGGATTTGATTTTTCTAAAGATCTGTGTCAAATTTAATAGTGATCCTTTGAGATTCTACACATGGGTGTAGAAAGGTCTCATAGGATAATTACTAAAAAATAAATGGTATGATAGTATACAATCCCTTTTGTTATTAAATCCAAAATTTTCCGATCACATAGTGACCGTTCTTTGCAAAACATCCTCCCAATGGCCCGTTTGATGATCAGTGTATCAATTTTCTCGTAAAAACATGCTTTGGTTACCTATTGAGATGACGTTTTTAGTGTTAAATGCCATGTTTTTTACCCCTCCCAAAATTCTAATATGTCATTCCTTAATGTTCTCGTTCAAATTTCAACCAAAAAGGTTGGAATTTGTTTCAAAATATTGATAATTGAGCCCGTTAGCAAATCCGTTGAAAAATTCGTTAAAAAAGTAATTTGACTAAGCTTTTAGGATCCAAAATTAGGTTTTTTTTTATTTTTTTTGATAAGATCCAAAATTAGGTTTTTTGATCCTCTTGAAAACCCAATCCATCTTTTCCTTGTAATTTTCCCTCCAAATATTAATAAAAAAATACAAAATTTGTTTCAGATTGTTGATAAATGACCTCACTCGCAGAGCCGTATAGGAGTTGGTTCTAACATAATGATTTCAATACGTTTTTCAAACTTTGGGTATTTCGAGACCTGAAACCTTAATCTGACATTCTTTGTTGTTCTCTCTCTCATAAATAATTTAAAATTGTTTTTAATTTATCCCACTAGCCAATCTTCAATATAAATTTGTTTCATCTATAACAAAAATTTCCAAGAGACCTAAGGACAATTTTGTTTTTTTGAAAACCTGCACAATTTTATTTGTAATATTAGTTACTATAAATATCTAATATTATATTAGCTTTTTTTAGGGTTTTTGCTCTAGTATGTATTAGAATTGATTTAGATAATATTTTTTTAAAATTTCCCATGATTTTTAATGAAATCGATATTTTATAGGTTGGCTCTTTAATTTATTTTTTTTGAAAATATTCATTGGATTTTTGAATTTTTTTAAATATTATATTTAATTTTCTTAATGATTTTTTCTGTATATTCTTGTTTGATAATTTATATAATTTTTTATTGGTTTCTTTGCCAAAAAAATTCTAATGTATTTAGTTTTTTCAAAAAAACGATTGGCTCTTTAAAAATTGTATTCAATACTGTGTGCATTTTTATTTTTAAATCATAGAATTTGTTCATTTGCAAAAAATGTACAATATTGAAATTATGATATTTTATATTATGAAATGACTGTTTTCCACTCAGACTATTTCATACTCTTTAAATGATTTCATCAAAATATGTAACATATATGTTAATTTTATTAACAAATCAATTTATTTTAATTTTTAAACATTTAAATATTGTTATAAAATTTTTATTAACTTGATTTGACCAGGAGAACCTGTCCGAGTTGGCAGGTTCACCAAGTCACAGGTTCACCAAGTCAACCAGGACCGGTGGGTGGCCATTTCAGCTACCCAATTCAATTTTTTAAATACGATCACAAACCATAAAACTGGATTTGGAGATGCGCCTTTGCTTCAATTTACTGATTCATTCTCTCTCTCTCTCTCTCTCTCTCTCGTGCCGCCATAATGGAAGTCAGGGCTCCTGATTCATGGGTCGCAACACGTCGGGTCGTGCCGAAGAAAAATTATGGGACCCGGAACCGAAGTTACCGGACCCGGACCTGGACTTAAATTCGATTGGACCTAGACCTAATTGGACCCGACCCAAAAAAATAAAAATAAAATATATTTAAATGTTATTTTAAATATGTAAAAATGTATTATTTAAATGGTGTTGTTTCTATAAGGTTGCAACCCTAAACAATCCAATTAAGGCTCACATCCAAAGTTTATCATAACATGTATTTTTTGTATTCAAAATTCTTAAGATGATCTGTAAATCTATTTTTATATCTAATAATAAAATTTTAATCGCTAAAAATGGTT